TGCGCCACTGCACTCTAGCCTGGGCAACAGAGCAAGACTCCATCGCAAAGAATAGAACAAAAATACAAAAAAACACAAAAACCCTTAGGGTGACTTCACCGCACATTTTTTGCCACCAGGAGTTACACGCCCCAAAGGGTGCTAGTCCCTTCTGCCCGTCCCCTGCGAGAGGAGCCACGTTCACCCCCACAGTGCTGCTGCCGTGTGCCTGGGAAGGGCCTCCACGGCCTCTGTGGGTTCATCCTGACTTTAAGCTATCACGGCCCATAGGACAGGGACAAAGCCAGCGCCATTTCCAGAGAAAATAAAGAAATACGTGAATTCTAGAGAAAAGCATCAGTACGATGCCTCAGGAGGCTGAGATAATTTGGGGGACGTTTCAACCCTCAGAGAGGGAGAGGTGCAGGCCGTTTCCTCTTCCTCTCCGGAGAAAAGCCCATCGTGGGAACGGCGCTGAGAGCCATTTCCCTCTGCCCCAGGCCTGGGACCCAGGCAGCTTGCTGAGAAAGGAATTTATTTAATTTACAACTGCTCAAGCGGCAATGATGGTGGGCTTTTTTGTCCACAGAAAAACCTTAATGCTACTTTTGACATTTCTTCAGAGCAAAAAATCCACCAGGACAATCTGGTGTCAATTCACTCTGAAGGCGACTCGGCGTGATGCAAGCTGAACCGGCTGCTGACAAAACACCTGGGACCGCAGCTGAGCGAGCTCCGAGCCCACTCCTCTCCTCACGCTGGTGGTGTGCACCTGTAATCCACGTAGGCGCCGTCCTGCGTACAGGCTCTCAGGCAGGGGCGCAAGGCCAGGCCACGGGGCGTGTGTGGCTTCACCCATTAGCCCCTCGGTGACACGCGCAGTCCTGACCCCAAGGGACACTGGGAAGTATGGCCTGGTGGGGACTCAGGCTGCCCCTCCGTGTACCAGTAGCCACACTCGCCATATCGTGGCCTGATCTAGGCTGGGGATGCCCCTCCCTGTCCTGGCAGCCATGCTCCTCCCATGTTTGCAAGGGGAGAGGAGCAACCAGAGCCCAGGTGGGAGGCGGGACGCGGGATGCACGAGACACGTGCCCTCAGAGATGTTTTTTTCAGACAGGATCTCGCTCTGTCACCCAGGCTGGAGTGCAGTGGCGTGATCATGGCTCACTGCAGCCTCAACCTCTCAGGCTCAGGCAATTCTCCCACTTTGGCCTCGTGAGGAGCTGGGACCACAGGCTCACACCACCACCGTCAGCTAATTTTTAAATTTTTTATAGAGACGGGATGTCGAGATATTTCCCAGGCTGGTCTTGAACCTCTGGCCTCAAGTGATCCTCTGGACTCAGCCTCCCAAACAGCTGGGATTACAGGTATAAACCACTGCACCTGCCTGTCCGCAATACTTAATCAAATATGCAAACATGAAGTACGCCAGCGAAAATGGATTCATCAACAACCAAAGACAAAGTGCAGCTCTCAGGAACTAGGCGAGACGCCGACTGCAGCCGGATCCAGTCCCTGACCCTGCCCTGGAACCCGCACCATCCAACAGACGTGGGAAGTGGAGGGACGGCAGCTGCAGGGGGATGCTAGAAGCTCACAAAACCTCCTAGGAGGTGAGCCCCATCCTTGCTGCCGCCCCTTCTCGCCACTCCCCCCACCCTCTCCAGGAATGCAAAGTGCTGGCTCAGAGGGAGGAACCGGAGGCACAGGAGACGCCGCTCTGAGAGTCAAGAAGTAACCAGATGGGTCCGGGCCAGCTGCCACCATGTGTGTACAGAAAGTTCTGGTGGAACGCAGCCACACGCATCCCTTCACACAGTGTCTGAGGCTGCTTCTGTGCTAGAACGCGTAGTTGCCACAGAGGCCGCACGGCCCACAAAGGTGGAAATATTTACTGTCTGACCCTTTAAGGCAACCTTTGCTGACCCCTGGTGCGGCCCTCAGTAAGCGTCAGGGGCCACTCCAAGTCCCTCTGTGTTAACGCACATGACCGCATCACCAGAAAGTAAGTTTCAGCCCTTGCCGTTTTACAGATGGGGAAGCCGAGGCATAGACAGGTTGGGGGACGTTCTCCGGCTCACACAGCTCCTGGCTTGTCAGACCCAACATCAGACGACTTGGGCTGGCCCAGAACCCTCAACTGGAAACCCCACTTTCAGGTCCTGTCCCCGCCTCACAGTGGACACCACAGTGGTGACAGAGCTGCC